AGGGGAATTGGGCTTTGCCCTCCCCGCTAGCCGGAGGCCCCTCTGCGGCTCTTCCCGCCCCAGCTGCCAAGGGGTCTCCGGGGCGCAGCTGGGTTTCGGGGAGTCGGGCTCTTAGGCCCTGGCTACTTGGCTCTTGGCTCTAACGCGCAGGCTGGGCTGGGCACAGCGAGGGACCAGAAAATCCCTCCACAGTCACCGGGATGAGCCCTTAACACCGTGCACCCCGAGGGGCCGTGTCACAGCCAGAGGACGCACTGGGCCCCTGGAGTCGCACCCCCAAACCCTGCGCCTGAGCCCGGCGCCCCGTGGGGCTGGCTGTGACCGATGCCGCACGGCCAGTTCGCCTTCGGCGCCGCCATGGGCCCCGGGGGCTGGCCACAGCCCCAAGGGCGCCTTTCCTGGGCAGCAAAGTGAGCGCGGGCTGCCTGCCTGCCTGCCATGAACCCAGGGCCGGGTCCTACACGGGAAAGGGGCCTGCGGCTTAAACACACCACGGCACAGAGCTCGGGGCCTTTCAATGCCACCCGGACGCTGCCATGACACCCAGCCAACAAGCAGCTGGTGTCACTGGCTCGGCATGCGGGCTCCCCAGGCCCACTGCTGCCTGACAGCCCCCTGCAGGCAGTGCTGCCTAGCAGTGCTCCCACCTGCATGTGGGAGGCAGCGGCAGGCTGCCCAGGCTTAAACACACCACGGCACAGAGCTCGGGGCCTTTCAATGCCACCCGGACGCTGCCATGACACCCAGCCAACAAGCAGCTGGTGTCACTGGCTCGGCATGCGGGCTCCCCAGGCCCACTGCTGCCTGACAGCCCCCTGCAGGCAGTGCTGCCTAGCAGTGCTCCCACCTGCATGTGGGAGGCAGCGGCAGGCTGCCCAGTGGGGCGGGAGGCCTGTGGGGACCGGCCGGGTGTGCACGCCCACAGAGCCGGCACACGGACACATGGGCAGGGGCGCTGGGGGGCTTTTTTTTTCCCCTCTGCAAAGCTCCGGCTCCTAGCCTGGAAGAGCAGGAAAGGGCCCGGCTGGTCTCCAACAGCCAGGAGAGCAGGCAGCTGGCTTCACCATCTGCCCGCCCCCACGTCCACACATCTTTACTAACCCCTGCTGGGGGTGCGTAGGCCCTTGCGCCCACACCCCTGGCAGGCACCAGGCCGGGCTGGTCACAGACGGGGACACAAAACCCATCTGCCATTAGCGCAAATAAGTGCGGCTGCTTGTTCCGAGCGTCAGCGGCCCCGTGTCACCAACGGACCCGTCCAGGGCTGGGCCCGCGGGAGCATGCGGCAGTGCAGGAAGGCGCTATGAGCGCCCGAGCTCGCAGGACCCCTCCAGGCCGGCCCCGCGGGAGCATGCGGCAGTGCAGGAAGGCGCTATGAGCGCCCGAGCACGCAGGACCCCTCCAGGCCGGCCCCGCTGGTCTGGCAACCCCCACGCCGGCCCGGTGGCAGTTACCCGGGGCCCTCTTAGCGGGGGTGGCCACATTTCCCACAGGCCCATAGTTTCTTGACAGCCCCGGCCCTGGCCCTGTGCCTTGGCGCCAATTCACCCCTCAGGGCCAGCAGTGCGCGTGTGGGCGA